AGAGTCAAGCGCTAGGCTATTAACCAAAAGTTTGGCAGTTCAAACCCAACCAGTGGCTTTGCTGGAGAAAGACCTGGCAGTCTGCTCCTGTAAAGATTACAGCCTATAGAACCCTATGGGGCAGTTCTGTTCTGACCCATGCGGTTGCTATGAGTTGGAATCAACTTGACAGCACCTAACAGCAATAACAGGGCCTATCTGGAGTCTCTATGTGGCGTGTTGCAAGCGTTTGACATGCTCAGCTGCTAACTGAACAGTTGGAGGTTCGAGTCCCCACAGAAGCACCTCAGAAGAAAGGCGTAGCAATCTACTTCCAAAAAATCAGCCATTGAAAACCCTACGGAGCACAGTTCTCTGATACACAGGGGGTCACCATGAGGCAGAGTTGACTCTTCGGCAGCTGCTTTGTTGCTGTTTTGTTTTCAAGGGCATGTGAGAGAAGTCTCGCAGAGCGCCTTTACAATGAGAAATTGTGTTGTGTGTGTGCTTTACTATTTGATTGGCACCTAATTACAATAATCATAATAATGCACTGAGTGCATACTAAGTGGAAGGCATTGTTCTTCATGCTTTTATTCACTCACTCACCAAATATTTATTTAGTGCCTCATGGGTACCAGTGTTTCCTTCTGTTGCACGTAGGGTTGCTGTGAGTTGGAACCGACTCGAGGGCACCTGACAAGTGCTAGACACCTTTGCAGGTATGGGGACAAAACAGACAGAAGTCCGTAACCTGTTATCTTATGAAGCAGTCTTCAGACAATACCATAGCCAGTCTTAATATAGGCATTAAAGAATAGTCTCGTTGATTCTTTTACTTGGTGGCGATTCATGCTGGAAACATACGTTGCATTATACATAAAGCTGGATTGTTGTTCTTAGTTGCCGTCAAGTCGATTCCGACTCGTGGCGACTCCACGTGTGCAGAGGAGACCTGCTCCATAGGGTTTTCAAGGCTGTGACCTTTACAGCAGCAGGTCACCAGGCTTTTCTTACGGGACGCCTCTGGGTAGGTTTGAACCACCAGCCTTTGGGCAAGCAGTCGAGCACTTAACCAGTGGCACCACGCAGGGACTCCTTAATGCTGGATCGTGCGTATTGAAGCAATGGTCCAGTCCCAGAGCAGCCCCCTGAGTAGGCTCTGTTATTGTCTCTGTTTTACCGAAGAGGGACACAAGGCACAAGGAGCTTTGCTAAGTTCACACAGCTGAGGTCTCTTGCACTCACTGTTGCTGGGATTCAAACTCAGGTTGTCTAATTCCAGAACCTGCTTTCTTTAATATTGCATTGCCTCTTGAATTTGATATCTGATGGAATTTTTAAAATGAGTTTAAGGGATTTTAAGTGATGAAAGGGCATGATTATGGAGCAGCTCTTAGCCCTCCGGCTCATCTATGGTGTATTCATATGAGCGCATCCTTTAGAATAGTTTTGATTCTATTAACTTAGGGGGCTTCAAGCTTTTCAATGTACTGTCCATTGAAATGGTGATCCAGTTCTATTTGCTAGATATTTGAAACTGGCTGTGCCTCATTTGATTTCCTTTGTTGGCTAAATTGGTAGCTTATTTCCGATTTGCACGGAGAGAATGGTGGGATTAATTGACTTTCTCCCAGTAATTACATCAGTGGCCTGAGTAGAGTGCTTGAGAATTCCAAAAATGGAGCCTTCAGTGGCCGGTAGCAGGGGATGGTTTCCTTTCTGAGCTGAGGGGCCCTGCCGTTGTTCTCTGGGTCCCTGGCCCAGACATCGGGCCTAGTGCTTTTGGACGCTAATCATTCCTTTCGGGCTTGTAAATATTTTCAGTTTGGGGTGGCATAAACAAAATAAAGAAATACATTATCGGGAAATCATAACAAAGGGAGGATTTCATTTTCTACTGTTTCGTAAAAGCTGTATTTTTCTGCTTTGTGCCTTGGCACACATACGTACAAACCAGTTTTTTTTTTTTTTTTTTTTTTTTTTTTTTGGTAAGAACATCATATTCCATTTTAAAAGAAGTTCAAAATATTTCAAACATTTATGGAACTAGTTTTCTTCAAAATGGATAAAAGACTGGATTTTCAACATGAAACATTTTCTGTAGAAGCATTTTTGCCAAGAGACCGTTATTTTCAAGGAAGGCAAAAAAATTATTACTACTGGGAAAGCCAGCACAACTTGTCCAAGGCAAGGTCATGGAAGCTCCATAGACACATCCAAACTCCCTGAGGGACTGAATTGCTGGGCAGAGGGCTGTGGCGACCATGGTCTCAGGGAACATCTAGCTCAATTGGCATAACACAGTTTATAAAGAAAATGTTCTACATTCTATCTTGGTGAGTAGTGTCTGGGGTCTTAAAAGCTGGTGAGCAGCCATCTAAGATACTCCACTGGTCTCATCCCTTCGGGAGCAAGGGAGAATGAAGAGAACAGGATACAAGGAAAAGATTAGTCCAAAGGACTAACGGACCACAGCTACCAAGGCCTCCACCAGACTGAGTCCAGTACAGCTAGATGGTGCCCAGCTACCACCACTGACTGCTCTGACCAGGATCACAACAGAGGGTTCTGGACAGAGCTGGAGAAGGATGTAGAACAGAATTCTAACTCACAAAAAAAAAAGACCAGATTTCCTGGCCTAAAGGAGACTGGAGAAACCCCGAGAGTATGGCCCCCAGACACCCTTTTAGCTCAGTGGTGAAGTCACTTCCAAGGTTCACCGTTCAGCCTGGGAGTGGACAGCCCCATAAAACCAAATGGGACTAATGAGGCACAGCAGTCCAGGGACAAGGGCCAGAAGGCAGAAGGGGACAGAAAAGCTGGTGATAGGGAACCCAAGGTTGAGAAGGGAGCGTGTTGACATGTCGTGGGGTTGTTAACCATTGTCATAAGAGAATATGTGTACAATAAAAAAAAAAATGTATTATAGAAGCAGTGTCTTTAGTAAGCAAAGTTGAGTTAATATTGGTTCTGTATCACTGTATATATATATCTATTTCTAATTAACTAAAGGACCCAGGGGAAGAAAGCTTGTTTTCTTAAATGTCTTAATAAAGGTAAATGACTATTTTTTTTTTTTTCATTGTAATACACAGAAGCAGTGTTGGCCTGCCAGTGATACCTTAAAAATAAGGATTCTGTAAAGGTGGTGTTAAAGATTTCACTTGTCAAAGAGGGTATTATAAATTTAAGAAATTTTAGACTATTTTATGTATATTATAGCTGAGACTCTCAATCCAAAACCCGTTGCCATTGAGTCAATTCCGACTCATAGTGGCCCTATAGGACAGAGTAGAACTGCCCCATGAGGTTTCCAAGGAGTGGCTGGTGGATTCAAACTGCCAACCTTTTGGTTAGCAGCCCAGCTCTTACCCACTGTACTACCAGAGCTCTGAGGCTCTCTTAGGAATATATCTGAGACTCTCTCAGGTTATGTACTAAGTGTTACATAATGCTATTGTTGTTGGGTGCCTTCGTTTTAATTCACAGTGACCCAGTGTGATTGTAGAACTGCCCCATGGGATTTTCTTGGCTGTAATCTTTACGGAAGCAGATTACCAGGCCTTTCTCCCACAGGGCCGCTGTGTGGGATTCAACCACCAACCTTTCAGTTAGCAGCCGAGTGCTTTAACCACTGTGCCACCAGGGCTTCTTTTCCTAACTTTTCGAATGGGCTGTCTTTGAGGCACACAGAGGTTAATGGGCTAAGATATTTAAGAAATGGTAGGTGGCAGAATTTTTCATGAGATCACAGTATCTGCACCAAGTTTCCCCATATACCCACTGTGGAGACACTGCATTATGAGCCAAATTAGGTAGAATGAAAACGTCCAGAAAACTCACAGAATGGTGCATTATTTTGTGTTCGTATGACCCAGGAGAAGCACGTGGCTTATTCTTGAGGGGAATTTTTAGATTGATGTTCTTTTGCGTTCATCAAATGAAGTCCTAATACATGCTGCAACACAGATGAACTTTGAAGACATACCACGAGGGAAATAAGTCAGTGACTAAAAGGCAATGTGATATGATCCCACTTACATGAAGTATCTAGAATAGGCAAGTGTATAGAGACGGAATGGTTGGTGGTTCGAACCCGGCCAGTGACTCCATGGGAGAAAGACTTGATGATCTGCTCCCATAAAGACGACAGCCTAGAAAACCCTCTGGGGCGGTTCTGCTCTGTCACATGGAGTCGCTGTGAGTCGAAGTAGACTTGCCGGCACCCAACAGCAACGACAGCGTAGAGAACAAAGTTAATTAGTGGTTACAGGGGCAGGCGAGAAAAGGGGGACTCATTGCTTAGGGGACGCTGAGCTTCTGTTAAGGTCATGGAAGAACTTGGGAATGGATAATGGTGATGGTTGAACAGCATTGTTAATGTCATCGGACTGTACATGTGAAGAATGTTGAAATAGCAAATGTTTGGGTACATTCATATTTACTGTAATTAAAGCAAAACAAAACCTGATTAGGGAATAGGAAGATTGTGCTATTATGCCAGGACTTGTCTTCCTAGTGCCAAGCCTGAGAAGAACATTCCAGATTCTGACCACCTTCTTGATGCCGCCATGTCTTAAGATTTTTGGGCCCTTGAAGTCACAGTCCGCAAGTCTCCAGTCTGCTGGCCTTGGACCACCCATTCAAAAACCTGTTGCCATTCCGACTCATAGCGACCCTATAGGACAGAGTACAACTGCCCCATAGAGTTTCCAGGGAGCCCCTGGTGGATTCAAACTGCCGACCTTTTGATTAGCAGCCGTAGCTCTTAACCAGTACACCATCAGGGTTTCCCTTTGGACCACAGCTGGCTTGAAATGATTCTGCAAGTCGTTAATGAAGTATACACTTTGCTTCATAGTGAAGAGAAGTAAAAATAAAAGGCACTCTTGCTTAAGTTTTGTTAGATGCTGATGAGTAGTAGTGAAATACCATTGCATACCAAAGAATTACCATGAAGTCCTTCCTGTACCCACCTTCTTGGTTGGCACATAACATTTGTCATTGTTGTTTTGCAGAAGGCTGAAGAGAATGCAGAAGGAGGGGAGTCTGCCCTGGGGCCAGATGGAGAGGTAAGGAATTTTGCAACCATTTCTACTATTTTTTGCTGAATGAAGTCCTTGCTGTATCTTTCAGTTCCGTTCTCTGTGTATAGTAATTTTCTTGTTACTCAGCCATCCATTTTTAAGTAAAGCAGTAGTACATTAGCATGATAGAAAACTAGAACGGTATAAAAGGGATACAGTGAAAAGTAATGGATTGCAGTGAAAAGTTGATTGCAGACTGACAATCAACTGATTTAAGTTTCTCGTATACCATTCTAGAATTTTCTGTGCACGTAAACCCACGGCCATCAAGTCAGTTCCAACTCATTGTGACCCTGTAGGACAGAGTAGAACTGCCCGTAGGGTTTCTAAGGCTGTGAATCTTTACGCAAGCCGACTGCCACAGCTTTCTCTCGTGAGCAGCTGGTGGGTTTGAACTGCCGACCTTTCGATTAGCAGCTGGAGCGCTTTTAACCACTGTGCCACCAGGGCTTCTTGTGCACACATAGGCATATATTTATGAATACACAGAATGTGTAAGAATCTTATGCGATTCTTTAATTACGTCTGCCCAGTAAGCAATACAGAAGCATAAACTATGACCCAGCTTGCCTCGTTCATTACTAATTTGAAATTATAAAAATGTCTAACCCAAACAGTTCACCTATTCGGTTAACTTATTTTTCTGACATCTTCTGTAGGTTTACGGTATCATTCCTACCTGTGGACTTAGCAGCATATCCTTAAATTTTATTTCCTAGTATTTACAATAGTCTCCTGAAGCGTGAGAATGCAATTATTTATTTATTGGATTTTTTTTCATAAGAGACTCAAGGTTCTATGCCTTTGTGCAATTAGGAGGCATGGCCAGAGCAGGTGGGAAGGGAGTTTGTTCAAATCACCTTGCCCTGCTCTCACATATGCTGATAAACCTTTCCGGAGAGTGGGGTGCTAGGAAGTTGCCCCTTCCCGTTCTAGAATCACTGTGCCTGCGAGGTGTATTGTGAATGTGAACAGCCTGGATCTAGTTAAAAATAATAATAGAAGGTGGAAGCCACTATTCTCTGCAGAAACCTGTGGAACAATGAACATTGCTTAACCACTATAATCCATCACAAGGAAAGGAAGGACTTGGATAAAGGTCTAAAGTGTAAGAAACTCTCAGTGGGCTGGAATGGGGGAAGAATATCATATACGAGGGTACTTAGAAACAATTCTAATTTGCAAAATCCCAGCCTTAGGTACGCCCACCTCCCACCAGTCTGTAATTAACAAGCTCACATGGAGAGATTTAACATGTTAAGGTAGAAGTGCTCTTCTTTTATTCTCTCTTGGAAAAATTAGCTACTGATCTGGGACCTGTGAACATACACCTTTTTTAGTTTGTTTCTTTTTACTCTTAACACATGCACGTTCTGTTTGCAGTAGTTTGCCGAGTGGCCATCCTGCCCCGTTTGTTTTGAAATGATGCTCTTATTACACTCGGTTGTGCTCATTCCGTGCTTTTGGGCAAAGTTCTAATTCCAGCTACAGTGGTTTCCAGTTTCCTCTGAGGCATAACGTAAGCAATAAAACATGCTATATGATAATAGTTACAGATAGTGGAATATAATTTTTCCAGAAGAGGTCATGCTGAATGGAAGACTCCCTTCGTTATCTCGTGAGCATGCAGATGACCTTTTACAGTAATGAGGAGGGAGCCCCATCTTGGCACGGAAAGTTAACGGTACTCGCAACCATTGCTTGAGCGCGCACAAAGGAAGAAAGGACAGTGTGGAGGATACTTTTTCTTTCTTTAAGGGTTATTTTTGTGGATAATAGCTAACACATTGCCTCTTACGATAACGGGAGTCACCATGGGTCAGAATCGACTTGATGGCAAAGGGTTTGAATTCTTTATTACTTTTTTTTGGTAGGGGCAACAAAACACTACTCTATGGCGTTTGCTGTAAGAAATAGAAACTAACCCACAGTGTGCTGTTGCGTTTTTCTTAACCTTCATTAAGAATAATTTAGGAAATATTCTTTGGAGTGAATTGCTTAAACATCTGATTTTATTACTTTTCAGGAGATAGATAACTTGAGCTACTTACAAATTAAGCCTTTCCAAACAGAGGACTCGCCTGGGGGTCTGCTCCTAGACAGCCATCACCCTGTGATCAGTAACACTTACTTGCATAGGATTAGTCCTTTCTAGACCTTTTAAAACAATTCCTTCTCTGTAGTAGGTTAAACACAGCCTCTGCAATTTCATTTACTCTCTTAATTTCCTGAGCAAGCCCATTTTTCATACAGTCTAGTAATGAACTTCAGTTCAGTCATAGTCATTCGTCAGGTTTCAAATTAGCAGAACTTTTTTTCTTTATCGGAGCCCTGGTGGTGCAGTAGTTAAGCGTTTGGCTGCTAAACCAAAAGGTTGGCAGTTGGAAATCACCAGGTGCTCCTTGGCAACCCTGTGGGGCAGTTCTGCATTGTCCTGTAGGGTCGCTGTGAGTGGAACCGACTCGACAGCAACGGGTTGGTTGGTTTGTTTCTTTATCTCACTTACAAGTGCCAGCGGGCGGGTTAGCTGCCTGCTGGTTCGGTTTGGGATGGCACCCCTGAGTGGTGCAGATGGTTAACACGCTTGGCTGTTAACCAAAAGGCTGGAAGTTGACGTCCACCCGGAGGCACATTGAAAGAAAGTCCTGGCAATCTGCTTCCCCCAAATCAGCCATCAAAAACCTGAGGGAGCACAGTTCTCCTATGACACACACGTGGGGTAGCCATGAGTTAGAACCGAGTTGAAGGCAACTGGTTTTGGTTTTGGATAAAAGACGTCGGCTCTGCGGGAGCCAAACCAACCCCCAGTGAGATGATAAGAGATCACAATACCTTCTCCTTTTCCTGGTCTCTCTGAAATCATGACTTTGCAGTTGTCATTATCGGTTTTCCTGTGGGAAAATGTACTGGTCAGGGGTTCTTATTTGTAAAGGAGAAAAATCATCGCTCCCTGATTTAAGTTAAGAACAACAACCAAAAATAAATAAATAAATAAACAAACCCATTGCCGTCGAGTCAATTCTGACTCATAGCGATCTTATAGGACAAAGTAGACCTGCCCCAGAGGTTTCCAAGGAGCAGCTGGTAGATTTGAACTGCTGATCTTTTGGTTAGCAGCTGAGCTCTTAACCACTGGGCCACCAGGGCCCCTAAGTTAAGAAGGGGATGTATTAATAGGATATAGGGCTGTTATTGGTCTCCAGGAGGACGGGAGAACCTGACTCGAGGCTCTACCCAGTATTATATTGTACAACTGGTCCAAAGAGGACATTGCTGCTAGTGGGAGGAGGCAGTCTATTGGCACGGCCAGTACCACCCTACTGGCCTTGCTGCACCTCGTGTGCCCTTGCACCAGTGTTCCTATTGCTCCCACTTCCTTGAACTTCCAGCTCCTAACTCAGAGCCTTGGAGAGTGCATCCTCATGGTGGTGCTGTGGTCTGGTGCTGCCTGTACCACAGCACCACCAACCGTGGTATTTTCAGTTTCTATATAGGAGCCCTGGTGGCGCAGTGGTTAAGTGCTCAGCTGCTCACCAAAAGGTCGGCAGTTCAAATCCATCAGCCACTCCTTGGAAACCCTGTGGGGCAGTTCTACTCCGTTCTACAGGGTCATTATGAGTTGGAATCGACTCAATGGCAACGGTTTTTTTTCTTTTTTTTTAAAATACAGTGAGATCCCCTGGGTGGTGCCCACGATTTGCCCTCAACTGCTAACTTAAGGTGAGCGGTTCACACCCACCCAGCGTCACCACAGAAGAAAGCCCTGGCAATCTGCTTCCGTAAAGATTGTTGTTGTTGTTGGGTTCCGTCTGTCAATGACAACTCATGAAGACCCCATGTGACAGAGTAGAAGTGCCCCATAGGGTTTTGCTGGTTGTCATCTTTATGGAAGCAGATCCCCAGGTTTTTCTCCCTTGGAGTCGCTGGGTAGGTTCGAACACCAGCCTTTGAATTAACAGCTTACCTGTTGTATCACAAGGGCTCCTTCCGTAAAGATGAGAGCCAGGGAAACCCGGTGGAGTGCCACTCTACTCTGCAGCACATGGGGGCGCCACTAGTCAGAGTGGACTCGATGGCAGCAGGTTTATTTTATGTAGTGAGAAGTGGTTTCCCATTTCCCAGAAAGACTTATTAGGTGGTGAAATCTTCAAACCCCGAAAGAGGCCTCAAGATGCTGGGCAGCCCAAAGGCAGAGGGGCGTCCAGCCCAGAACTGGGAGAATGTCTCGGCGTCCTGTAATGGTGTGTCTTGTTCCCCCTTCCCAGCCCATAGATGACAGCAGCCAGATGAGCGACCTGCCGGTCAAGGTGACCCACACGGAAACCGGAAAGGTCCTCTTTGGACCAGAAGCTCCCAAAGCAAGTCAGCTGGACGCCTGGTTGGAAATGAACCCTGGGTAAAGCAGAAACAGTGGTGTTCTTGGGCTTTTTGTGACATCCTGAAACTAAAGCAACATGGCCTTTTCTGAAGTGGTTGGAATTGATATCCATCTTTGTCGTTTGTGCATGGAACACGCCAGCCATGCCGTGCGTGCGTATCATTGTTCTGCAATTTAAAAACTAAGTCCCCTTCTCCCCGCTCCTTTTCTTGTAGCTACGAAGTTGCCCCTCGGTCTGACAGTGAGGAGAGTGATTCCGACTACGAGGAAGAGGTATGTAGGTGTCTCTGTTTCTGATCTATTGGTTTGGAAGTTCACGGGGAAGAAACTTCTCCCTGAGCTCAGGTCCAGCACTTGTGTCTTCCCTCCCCGCCTCCCCCCCAACGTTGGCCGCCGGGTGACGAGTGGAGCTAAGGATTGTCAAACACTTTCCTGACGCAGGCTCAGTGCTACAGAGACCTCTTGGAGGCTCCTGGCCAGTGGGGAAACTCGGTGAATTCCAGATTTGTTTGCACACAAGAAAAGGGAATGAGGCATTGGTGGTTCAGTGGTAGAATTTTTGCCTTCCATGCAAGAGACCTGGGTTCATTTCCCGGTCAGTGCACCTCGTGTCCAGCCACTACCCATCTGTCTGTGGAGGCTTGTATGCCGTTAGGATGCTGAACAGGTTTCAGCAGAGCTTCCAGAGTAAGACAGCTAGGAAGAAAGACCTGGTGATCTACTTTTGAGAATCAACCAATGAAACCCCAGTGGATCACAACCAGTTATGGGGATGGTGGAGGACAAGGCGTCATTTCTTCCCATTGTGCCTGGGGTCAACAACAACAACAATACTTGGGACCAAGGGTTCTAGGTGATCCCAAGCAGGTTCCTTTCATTGATTCTGATTCAGTGATTTAAACAGCAGTGAAATTAATTAATTTTTTAGGCACACATTCAGTTTCCTCCCTCTCTTAATTGTATTTGCTTACTTCACTTGTGAAGTTCAAATACAATTTCATCATCTATTTTCAGAAAATGCCAATCATAGCAGTTCCCTTGTTCAAACGTCATTTTTTCCCAATCTTTGTTCCTTCCCCAGGATGAGGAAGAAGAGTCCAGTAGGCAAGAAATGGAAGAGAAAATACTTCTGGATCCAAACAGTGAAGAAGTGTCCGAGAAGGACGCTAAGCAGATCATTGAGTGTGTATCTTGCTGAGTTTTCTTCCTTGGAAATGGGTTTCGTGATGACTACGCGAAGTTTCCCTCTGTGGGTGTCAGGATCATGTTCCTCCTGGTCGTTTGAGGTCAGGCAGACCTGCGTTCAAATCCTGGTTCCCCAGCTTTTCAGTTATGTGACCCTGGGCAGATTAGTTAACCTCTCAGAGCCTCAGTGTCGCCATATGCATAAAATGGGGATGGTAGTAATACCCACCTTGCTTAGTTTGGGGAGGATTAGAATTCTCGCCTTCCATGCAGGAAACCTGGGTTTGATTCCCGGCCAATGCATCTCATGCTCAGCCACCACCCATCTGTCAGTAGAGCCGTGTGTTACTATGATGCTGAATAGGTTTCAGCATTACTTCCAGCCTAAAACAGACTAGGAAGAAAGGCCTGGTGAACTACTTCTGAAAATGAGCCATTGAAAACCCTGTGGCTCACAGAGGTCTAATCCACAACTGGTCATAGGGATGGCCCAGGAGCAGGTAGGGTTTTGTTCCATTAAGCACAGGATTGCCACGATTCAGGGCCAACTCAGCACCGGCTAACAACGTAGATAATGCTTGTTAACTTTAAGGCATGTGCTGTGGTTGTTAGTTGCTGTTGAGTCGATTTGGACTCACGGAGACCCCGTGTGTGCAGAGTTTTCACCTTATGGAAGCAGATCCGCCAGGCCTTTCTTCTGAGGCACCTGTGGGTGGGTTTGAACCACCAACCTTTCAACTAGTAGTTGCAGCCCTTAACCATTGGCGCCACCCAGGGACTCCCAATAGAGGTGATAAGTAAGCTACACTTACCGCAGCTAACTTAGGCCGTCAGTGCCTCTTTGGAATGACATTAAGTAACACACACATCCAATTCAGCGTGTGATTCCCCCCCTCCTCCTCAGGACGGCCAAGCAGGACGTGGACGACGAGTACAGCATGCAGTACAGTGCGCGGGGCTCCCAGTCCTACTACACTGTGGCTCACGCCATCTCCGAGCGGGTGGAGAAGCAGTCGGCCCTCCTCATCAACGGGACCCTGAAGCATTACCAGGTAATGCCGTGGCTCATGTCTCCTTGGCAAGGAGTAACCTTTTGATCCCAGCATGTTACACACATGTTGATTGCTCTAGAAGATGTGAGGATGGAGGAAAATTTTAGGTCACATGACTTGGTGCCTGCGATTCTTTTGGAGCACTTCCATGTTACTTATTTTCCAGGGGCGTATCAGTTTTCTCGTTTATGGTTTGGGGATGAGCTTTGTTTTAAGGAAATAATTGGCTTAACATTTGGAACAGTTTTATTATGCATCTCTTCAAAATGGAAAACCCAGCCACGTTCTTTTCAAGGAAGGAACATCTGAACCTCATCTTGAAGTCAGCGAAATATTTCTTTAAAACGTCGGTGGTGGCTATAGGTTTAGCCCTGACTCCACCACCACGGAGGAGCCATGTAGTACATCTATGCTTTTTTTTTTTTTAAGGCACAATAAAGTTGGGAGCATCTGTGCTTTGATAAAAATTTGTTTGTAAGCATAACAGGTGTTTCATATGACTTCTATGTTTCCTGGGGCGATCCCATGCACAGGGGAACTAAACACTGCCTGGTCCTGTACCATCCCTATGATCAGTTGCAGATCAGACTCTTGTGATCCACAGGGTTTACCCTGGCTGATTTTCGGAAATAGATTGCCAGGCCTTTCCTCCTAATCTGTCTTAGTCTAGAAGCTCAGCTGAAAGCTGTTTAACATTACAGCAACATGCAAGCCTCTCCTGACAGACGGCTGGTGGCTGCGCATGAGGTGCATTGGCTGGGAGTTCAACCTGGGTCTCCCACATGGAAGATGAGAATCCTTGGGGGCGGGGACACCTCCCATATGGAAGGCAAGAATTCTTGGGGGCGGGGACAGAAGGGGTGGTTAATTATTTTGTATTTTCACTCAGCCTCTCTTGTACTTAGCATGGGGAATACAAAGCTCCATGTCTGGTGCAGTGATGTTGTACCTTAAAACTGCACTGACCGTGTTTTCCAGACAGCTCTGGCATGCCGCCCTCAGGGGGCACCCACATTGCAAAGTGCCCACATGCTGCTGGGAGCTTTCTGTTCCCCAGAACTGGGAGGGCACAGGCCCAGCAGAATGCCCCCTCGCTCCTTGGTCACCCTCCTTCCTCCCTGAGGGGACCCTACCCCCAGGTTGGCCTCTTCCTCACCAGGAGGGCTGTTCCTGACAATCCAGTCTTCTCACCCTGCGAGGCGCCGGGTTTGTCGTTTGTCTTCCCATCGGCTTTTTGTTCTTGGAGTGGTTGGAGTCGGCGGTGGCTTGGGTTTTCTTCGTGTATAATAATTCTCGAATGCCGTATACTGTGAAATGCTAAGCCGGGAAGAGCGGCAAAGCTGCTTAAAATCCCCCCAGTCTGCTGCCACCGTCACTTCTAAATCTGATTAACACCCAGCTCCTGCCAAGCAGCAGGCATGATTACAAGCTCAGATTATAAATTCTGTCTGTGTTGGTGCTTCCCCACCTGCTTCCCGACTGCGGGGAACCCAACCTACAGGGCGACAGAGTTGAGAAGTCGCAGCCACACTTGAGTTGTATTAGTATTAATTACCTGTGCAGATCTTGGGTAATTGAAGCAATTACTCTTCATTTCAGCTCCAGGGCCTGGAATGGATGGTTTCGCTGTATAATAACAATCTGAATGGAATCTTAGCGGATGAAATGGGGCTGGGGAAGACCATCCAGACCATTGCACTCATTACATATTTGATGGAGCACAAAAGACTCAATGGCCCCTACCTCATCATTGTGCCCCTCTCGTAAGTACAGGGTTTGTTCCACGGTGACCCTCCTGCGTGGTGGAGATCACCCTCTTAGGAGCTTGTCCTTGTTTTTTACTTGAGGCTGAACACCAGCATGGAGCGGGGTGGCCAGGTGCGTGTGAAATCAGGCTTCATGCCTCTGCCTCCTTGATTGGCTAGTAAGCCCGGGACACAGTGGTTTTATCAGCCATCAGCATTGCCACCTACACAGCTCGCCCACAGCACAGTGGGTGGCGTTCATCATCACTTATTAAGTGGCCCAGGAGAGGGAAAGATTTTTTTTTTTATCGTGTCTTTGATTTTTCCTTGTTCCACTTCCAAAAGGCTTTCTATTTATATTTCTAGAGAATATATGGGAATATGTGTTCTTATATAAAGGAGCCCTGGTGGTGCAGTGGTTAAGCGCTCGGCTGCCAACCGAAAGGTCGGCAGTTCAAACCCACCAGCAACTCCTCGGGAGAAAGATGTGGCAGTCTGCTTCCGTAAAGATTATAGCCTAGAAAACTACGGGGCAGTTAGTTCTACTCTGTCCTAGAGGGTCTCTATGAGTCGGCATCGACTCAATGGCAATGGGTTTATTCTCTTACTATTATAGATTGTTGTCGTGTGCCGTCAAGTCGATTCCAATTCATAGTAACCCCATTTGACAGAGTAGAACTGCCCTGTAGGGTTTCCTAGGCTGAAATCTTCAAGGGAGCAGATCATCAAGTCTTTTCTCCTGTGGAGCCGCTGGTGGGTTCGAACCACCAACCTTTGGGTCAGCAGTCCAGTGCTCAACCTTGAGTGAAGGAGTAGCTGCTCCCAGCCTTGGAGTTTAGTGTATCTACCTGTGGGATGAGGTTGCCCCTTTCTTCACTGAAGTCTCCTTACAGATCTTGGCGCTAAGTCAAACTTAGACCTTGAGTGAAAAATAAGGGTTCTGTTTATGTATGTCCCTCAAATTTTGTCTAAATGAAGACCATTTGCAGGACTTTTTATCTCCATTATCTGAATCCATAGTAATTAGACAGACGTCTTTGCATTTTATCTGTATTTTGAAATCTGCATTTTGTACTTTACCTGTATTTTGCATATTCTAACTTGTATGTCCCTGTGACCCTTTATGGGATTTTTAAAAAAGTCATCCACGTTTTCTTCCCCTGGATCGTTTCAACAGATTTATTTAATATTGCCATGTGGTTTTGTAATTTCTTTTTCCTGACTCAGTTTTTCTCTGAACTTACATGGCTGTAAAGACTCACGAAATCAGTCTGGCAATGGCGGATTCTCAATGCCATATTGAAATTTCGTTTTTTTGTCCTCTGTTTATGTATTCTGTAATTTTTTTCTTATGAGATTTTTTTTCTATGATCCACAAACAAACCTTTGTCGTGCTTTGTGGCAGCTTCTTGCTAACTTATCTCTGATTACCACACCTTTAAAATCAGTACTCAGTGGCGATATTTTATGTTCTCCTAGCCCTTACAAGGTGAGACCTGAAAAATGAGTAAGAGTACCTTTTTGACCAGTGATATTTGTATGTGTGTTTATTTCTGTGTGTTCTTTTGTCTTTGTTCTGTAGGACTCTATCTAACTGGACATATGAATTTGACAAGTGGGCGCCTTCTGTGGTGAAAATTTCCTACAAGGTCTGGAACTCTGTGTTTGTGTGTGATTGTGGGAAAAGCACAAAGTTGATCCCGTTTCCTTCATCCCCCAAGCACACCTGTCAACGGTGTCTGGTTGTAGAGTTTTGCCATGTTCATCATGTCCTAAACAGTGAGAGTTAATCATCCTGGGAAGATTACTGTAATAAACCATAATTACTTTCAGATAGTGAAATGCAGGAGAAATTGTTAATTATCATATTATGAAGTTTCTGATGAGAGTAATTCAGATGACAAATACTACACGTTCTGAGCGCCACTGGCTGCGGACGGTGCCTGCCTGCGAGGCCAGGCAGTGGTCACCAAGGCGGCCGGCCTGCCTGCTGTCCTCCCAGCAGCCAGTAGGGTCTCCACTCCCAACGTCACCGTCATCGGCATTTCCTCCCCTCCCCCTCCCTTCCCTCGCCTGCCTCTGGGAAGCCTCCCTGGAAGGGTCTGGAGAGTGTCAACACGTGTGCGATTTCAGCAAGCACTGCCCCCAGAGAGGATGAATCTGTGTGTGATAATTCATATGTATGTGATAACAGGCATGTGTGTGATAACATGTGTGATAATGCTTACATGTGCCGTCCTCCATCACATGCTTCCGCCCCGTGAAGCTGGCAACAGTGAGAAACAGCGCTCTCTGACTTCCACTGGACAATGTGTATTTTCTTCTCTCCATCTAGGGCACCCCTGCCATGCGCCGCTCCCTAGTCCCCCAGCTACGAAGTGGCAAATTCAACGTCCTTTTGACAACTTATGAGTACATTATAAAAGACAAGCACATTCTTGCCAAGGTATGTGGTTTTTTTTGTGTTTTTTTGTTTTTATTGTACTTCAGGTGAAGGCTTACAGAACAAATAGTTTCTCATGAGACAGTAGTACACACATTGTTTTATGACATCGGTTAACAACCCCACAACATGTCCACCCTCTCCCTTCTCGACCTTTTTTTTTTTTTTGGTGAAAATATACATAGCCAAAGATACACCATTTCAAAAATTCTCTACATGCACAGTTCAGTGACATCGACTACGCTCTTCCAATTGTGCTGCTATTCTCACTTTAGATGAAGGCTTACAGAACAAAATAGTTTCTCATTAAACAGTTAGTACACATGTTGCCCTATGACAATGGTTAACAACCTCACAACACATCAACACTATCCTTGCTCAACCTTGGGTTCCCTGTCACCAGCTTCCTTGTCTCCTTCTGCCTTCTGGCCCTTGTCCCTGGACTGCTGTGCCTCGTTAGTCCCATTTGGTTTTATGGGGCTGTCCACTCCCCGGCTGAACGGTGAACCTTGAAAGTGACTTCACCACTGAGCTAAAAGGGTGTCTGGGGGCCATACTCTCGGGGTTTTTCCAGTCTCCGTTAGGCCAGTAAATCTGGTCTTTTTTTTTTGTGAGTTAGAATTTTGTTCGACATCCTTCTCCAGCTCTGTCCAGAACCCTCTGTTGTGATCCCGTTCAGAGCAGTCAGTGGTGGTAGCTGGGCACCATCTAGCTGTACTGGACTCAGTCTGGTGGAGGCCTTGGTAGCTGTGGTCTATTAGTCCTTCGGACTAATCTTTTCCTTGTATCCTGTTCTCTTCATTCTCCCTTTCTCCCGAAGGGATGAGACCAGTGGAGTATCTTAGATGGCTGCTCACAGGCTTTTAAGACCCCAGACACTACTCACCAAGACTGAATGTAGAACGTTGTGTTTATAAACTGTGTTATGCCAATTGTGCTAGATGTTCCCTGAGACCATGGTGCCAACAGCCCTCTGCCCAGCAATTCAGTCCCTCAGGGAGTTTGGATGTGTCTATGGAGCTTCCATGACCTTGCCTTGGACAAGTTGTGCTGGCTTTCCCAGTAGTAATAATTTTTTTGCCTTCCTTGAAAATAATGGTCTCTTGGCAAAAATGCTTCTACAGAAAACGTTTCATGTTGAAAATCCAGTCTTTTATCCATTTTGAAGAAAACTAGTTCCATAAATGTTTGAAATTTTTTGAACTTCTTTTAAAATGGAATATGATGTTCTTACAAAAAAAAAAAAAAAAAAAAACTGGTTTGTACGTATGTGTGCCAAGGCACAAAGCAGAAAAATACAGCTTTTACGAAACAGTAGAAAATGAAATGCTCCCTTTGTTCTAATTTCCCGATAATGTATTTCTTTATTTTGTTTATGCCACCCCAAACTGAAAATATTTACAAGCCCGAAAGGAATGATTAGCGTCCAAAAGCACTAGGCCCGATGTCTGGGCCAGGGACCCAGAGAACAACGGCAGGGCCCCTCAGCTCAGAAAGGAAACCATCCCCTGCTACCGGCCACTGAAGGCTCCATTTTTGGAATTCTCAAGCACTCTACTCAGGCCACTGATGTAATTACTGGGAGAAAGTCAATTAATCCCACCATTCTTTCCATGCAAATAGGAAATAAGCTACCAATTTAGCCAACAAAGGAAATCGAATCAGGCACAGCCAGTTTCAAATATCTAGCAAAATAGAACTGGATCACCATTTCAATGGACAATACGTTGAAAAGCTTGAAGCCCCCTAAGTTAATAGAATCAAAACTATTCTAAAGGATGCACTCATATGAATACACTATAGATGAGACTTTTAAAAAATTCTTTTCTCTCTAATGATGGGACATCACACTGAAGTGTAAGGCAGTCCCCAGATTACACTCACTAGTGTCATTTGAAGGAGCCTTGGTGGCCAGTGGTTAAGTGCTCGACTGCTAACCGGAAGGTTGGCAGTTTGAACCTACCAGGTGCTATGCAGGAGAAAGACGTGGCAGTCTGTTTCCATAAGGATTACAGCCTTGGAAACCCTCTGGGGCAGTTCTGCTCTGTCCCATAAGGTCCCTATGAGTCTGAATCGACTTGACGGCAATGGGTTGGGTTAGTGAATTTGATTAGATGGCTTCTGTCTCTCTCCCTCCAGCCCTCTTGCTTTCTCTGTCTCTCTTTCAGAGAATCAGATATATTTTGGTCATTGGACTCCCTGGGTGGCTCGGATTGCTAAGTGCTCACCTACTAGTCGACAGGTTGGCAGTTCTAACCCATCCAGAGGTGCCTTGGAAGACAGGCCTGGCGATCTGCTTCTGAAAGGTCACAGCCTTGAAAACCCTCTGGAGCAGTTCTACTCTGCACACATGGGGTCGCCATGAGTCGGAATCGACTCCATGGCAACCAGCACCAGCAACAACAGCAGCTTTTTGTGGGTGTGCTTCATCCTGGGACTCCTACCTGTCTTTCATGGATAACGGGTTTTGTTGTTGTTAGCTGTCGTTGCGTGTATGCTGACTCATGGGACCCCATGTGTTAGAGAATAGAACTGCCCTGTAGGGTTTTCTTGGTTATAATCTTAACGGAAGCAGATGGCCAGGCCTTTCTTCTGCAGTACAACTGGGTGGTTTCGAACCACCAACCTTTAGGTTAATAGTCATGCATAAACCATTTGCATCACCCCCCCAAAAAAACAAAAAACCAAAACCCATTGCCATCAAGTTAATTCCGACTCATGGCAACCCTATAGAACTGCTCCATAGGGTTTTTGAGGCTGTCATCTTTATGGAGGAGCCCTCATGGTGCAGTGGTTAAATGCTATGGCTGCGTAACCAAAAGATCAGCGGTTCGAATCCACCAGCTCCTCCTTGGAAACCCTATAGGGCAGTTCTACTCTGTCCCATAGGGTCTTTGTGAGTCGGGATCGACTCGACGTAGCAGGTTTGGTTTCTTGGGTTTAATCTTTATGGAAGCAGACTTCCACATCTTTCTTCCACAGAGCACCTGGTGGGTTTGAACGGCGTACCTTTTGGTTAGCAGCCGAGCTGTTAACGTCTCCGCCGCCATTATTATATGCTCGCTAGTATATTTATATTATAGTCCCCAGCATAATGTGATCATTTGACGCAGCCCTCGCCAGCTCTTTCTCTCTCTGTCACTCTTTCAGAGAGTCATCTGGTTTTTGGTCTTGGGGTTTCCTTTTATGAATGTTGTTGTTTCGGTGGGTGTGCTTCCTTCTGGGACTCTGACTTACCTTCTCTTAGTCAGTGGGCTTACACCTCTTAAAAACCTTCACCTCGGCTCCTGCAGCAACCCTTTTCTCTCCCAGGGCCCTGAGCGCACTCGTGAAAGCAGGAATTGCTTCTCTCACCCTGGGGTATTGTGGGAAACGTAACTTCACTCCTCCCAGGCCTTTGTCTCTCCACAGACAAGCAGGCACCCCTCCACATGGTCTTCTCCGTGCGAACATTATCCAGGCTGTGACGTTTGTACTTGTCCCCAAACCTGTTGCTGTCGAGTCGATTCTGACTCATAACAACCCTACAGGGCAGAGCAGAACTGCCCTATAGGGTTTCCAAGGAGTGGCTGGCGGATTTGAACTGCCGACCTCTTAGTTAGCAGCTGAGCTCTTAACCACTGTGCCACCAGGGCTCCTTTGTGCTTGTCCAGTTCTAAGTTTTTCCTGGTAAAATAATGGGCTGTTATTGTTCGAATTCAGGAGCCCCAGTGGTGCAGTGGTTAAAGTGATTGACTGCTAACCGAAAGGTCCGCGGTTCAAAACCACCAGCAGCTGCGCAGGAGAAAGATGTGGCGGTCTGTTTCCGTAAAGATTTATAGCCTTGGAAACCCTATGGGGTCTCTGTGCATCGGAAGTGACTCAGCGGCAGCGTGTTTTGGGGTTTGAGTTTGGGTGGCATAAAAGGTTTAGCGCTCCACCGCTGACTGAAAGGTTGGCGGTATGGGTCCACCCAGCAGCTCCACAGAAGAAAGGCCTGGCAATCTGCTTCCATAAAGACGACAGCCAAGAAAACACTGTGGGGCAGTTCTACTTTGTCACATGGGGTCCCTATGAGTCAGAATTGAATGTTGGGCACGTGTCAACAATGACAGTGTTCGAATTACTCAAGGCTGTTTCTATATCTCTTTATTTGGAGGTGAGGAAGAGTTGCTTTCTACCTGTGGCCCCTGTGTCTCCTAATTTGTATGTTCTAAATTGTCCTTTAGCCACAAAATAGAAAGATTTTTTTTTTTTCCATTTATATCTTCTTGTCTCCTGATGTATTTCTGTAGAATGAATGAACTTGTTTCTTTCATGGAGCAAATATGAAAACTTAATTTTTTTTTTCCCCTTTGGAATTTTCTCTGCCTCGTGGTGTTTGCAGAGCACTATAATCTGAAACTAAGTTATGGCCAGAACAGAGCGGAATCCCTGTTTCTGGGATCTGTTGTGTCTCTGCATCAAACCTTTGGTCTGGGAACGGAGCTGTCCCTTCGTGGCATCGTAGGAAATAAGAGAAAGGCAGCGTGGTCCCCGGGGAGGGTGAATAATTGACATAGCACTGGCAGCAATGCTGTGTCCCTGATCCTCGGAGTCAGAGACAAATTTGGCAGTGTCGAAAAATGATGTCTTTTCCATATTGCTGTGGGAATGTGCTTGTACATTTGAGATCCTTTTACAAAAAAAATTCACATCGTGTCTTCCGCATGTGTGTTTCAAAATCCATTGGAGACGCCGGGTAACGAGACGCATTGCTTTTTGTTACTGGAGAAATGGAGCTGTAGCAGGGGGTCGTCATTTCTTCCTGAGTGGAAGACCCAATTAGTAGTAGACCCACTAGCAAAATCAGAGGCCTCTGGCTCTCAGTTTATTATTTCATAAGCGAAGTTAGGCAGGGAAGTAGATCGAGAATGTTTATTAAGTACACTTCTGTCTGCTGGCCTCTTTCAGGGGTATTGGTAAGTTGAGGGCAGTTGATGGCACAGCTGTAATGATTCTTAAACACTTTGCTTGAAGGTAACGGAGGAGGGAAAGAACAGAACTCTTGCGGTTCCCTTTCCCTGTGTATCCCGGCCTGTCTGATGAGTCTCTTCTTTCTCCCTGACTTTACCTTCTTCTAACAAGAAGGTGAGGACTGTACAGAATGCTCTGCTCGCTCCCTCCTCTCTCTCTCGGGGCTTCGCAGGGGGATCAGGGATATGTGCACACCCGAGGCTTCTCTTGGCCGCTGTGGCCATTTTGTAGGGAATAGCTGCGTTCAGTGGAACATTCCTCACTATTCTCACTTTCAGAGACTGTGAACAGTGACCTTGGTGAGGGCTGAAGGGCAAGATGTGAGAGCAGAAGGGGTTTGGGTATAGACTTAGGAAGGAGAATCATGTCCTCTGGGACTTCCTGATCTTCTAAGTGGTAGTCATCTTGGGGGCATAGCCTTGTATTTCGTTCTGCAGTTTGGGCATACGTGGAGGAGTGATATTTTAGCATGGCCTGTCTGTCGGTGAATGCACCCTTTCATGTTAGATATCTTAAAACAGGGGCTGCAGACCCAGATTCCTTCCTGTAGGGCCTGGCAGGTGAGGAATATGCGTGAGCTGAGAGCCCAGTGTGGCCAGATCTTCTGATTTTTTTTTAAGAAGCTGGAGGTCCAGATTTCTGAGTGAAATAGTCCAACTTTTAAGTGTTAGCAACCAACTCAAATTTTTTTAAAAAAAGAAGATTCAGAGGAGCAGTGAGCCAAGCCTTAAAGCTAGTAGCTGGCCAATGTACTGAGAAGGTACGGGGCCAAGGGTGTCTCGGCCATGTTGTTGTTGTTAGCTGTCAGCGAGCCAGTGCCAACTCATGGAGACCTTAGGTATAACCGAACAAAATGCTGGCCGTTCCCGCACCGTCTTCACAGCCTTTCGTCTGTTTGAGTCCATTGTTGCAGCTGTTGTATAGTGCCTTCCAAGCTCATCTTCCAGCACCTCATCAGACAGCATTCTGTTGTGATCCATCAGGTTTTCATTGACTAATTTTTGCATGTAGATTGCCAGGCCTTTCTTCTTACTCTTATCAGTTTGTTGTACTGTGGTGGCTTGCATGTTGCCACAATGCTGGAAGCTATGCCACTGGTATTTGAAATACCAACAGGGGTACACATAGTAGGCAGGTGTCAGTGGAGCTTCAAGCTAAGACAGAGTATCTCAGCTATAAAAATAAAGCAAAACAAAACCAGTTGCCATGCAGTCAATTCCAGTTCATGGAGGTGCCTGCTAGCACCATCTTGGAAGACTCAGTCATTAACTTCTGCTCCAGGTGGAAATCTATAATCTACACTTACTGGGTGCAGAGGTAGCATGACCTTTGCAATCTGAGAAAGCAGCTGTGGTGTAGTATTAATGAAAGGAACGTTGGGTGGGGAGAAGCGGAAGCTAGTCCTGGCACCACTAATAAGCAGGGTGGAACCATTCATACTGGGCCCAAGTGTCCTCCTCTGGAAAAGGGTCATTTGGAATCACTTGGCCCCTAAGGAACATTATTACTTTCCAAACCTGTTGTCGTCAAGTTGATTCCGACTCATAGCGACCCTGTAGGACAGAGTAGAACCGCCCCATAGGGTTTCCAAGGAGCGGCTGGTGGATTCAAACTGCCAACCTTTTAGTTAGCAGCTGAGCTCTTAACCAGTATGCCACCAGGACTCCTTAAACTTAGAAAGGGCTCAGGGTGAGTGCACAGTGATCAAACCAAACCAAACCTGTTGCCGTCAAGTTGATTCCAACTCATAGCGACCCTATGGGACAGATTAGAACTGCCCCATAGGGTTTCGAAGGAGTGGCTGGGGCATTCAAACTGCCAGCCTTTTGGTTAGCAGCCATAGCTCTTAACCACTGTGCCACCAGGGTCCTCATTATTAGCATTCCATTATTACATAATGATGTCTTCTGCATATGTATTTCAAAATATTATCAAGCATAGAGAATGGACAGTTATCAAAATATTATCTCTATTATGAGGCATAGAGAATGGACTATTTGTTGAGATGCTTGTATTGTAAGGAATCTCACGCCACACCCTGTCCCACCTATGGGGTCTTTGGTTTTCCATATCACCACTCGCCGGCTGGAGATAGTTGCGTTTTCCGCATTAATGTTCCGTTGCTCACCACCAGTTGACCCTCTCTCGTGATTACAGATCCGGTGGAAATACATGATCGTGGACGAAGGCCACCGCATGAAGAACCACCACTGCAAGTTGACCCAGGTCTTGAATACTCACTACGTGGCCCCGAGAAGGGTTCTCTTGACGGGGACCCCACTGCAGAACAAGCTCCCTGAACTCTGGGCCCTCCTCAATTTCCTCCTCCCCACAATCTTCAAGAGCTGCAGCACCTTCGAGCAGTGGTTCAATGCCCCGTTTGCCATGACTGGAGAAAGGGTACTGGTCTCACTTTTGGGTTTTCCACTGTGGGTCAATGAAATGAAGTGAAATGGCCTAGAGTTGAGAACATTAGACCTTACCAAAAATAATAAAAAACCAAACTCATTGCCAGCTAGTTGATTCCAGCTCATGGTGACCCCGTGTGTTACAGAGTACAACAGTGCTCCATAGGGTTTTTTTAGCTGTAATCTGAACAGAAGGAGTCCTGGTGGCACAATGGTTAAAGAATTGGGCTGCTAACTGAAAGGTCGGTGGTTCGAACCAACCAGCCGCTCTGTGGGAGAAAGATATGGTAGTCTGCTTCTGTAAAGATTACAGCCTTAGAAACCCTGTGGGACAGTTCTGCTCTGTCCTATGGGGTCTCTGTGAGTCAGAATCGGCCCATCTTAATGGAAGCAGATTTCCAGGGCTTGCTTTCACAGTACCACTGGGTAGGTTTGAACCGCCAACCTTTAGGTTAGTAGTTGACCGTAAACTGTTTTCACCACCTGGGGACCTTTGTAACACACGAGAACATTAGACAGAAAACCAAACCCATTGCTGTCGAGTCGTTTCTGACTCCTAGTGACCCTATAGGACAGAGAAGAACTGCCGGATGTAGTTTCCCAGGAGCGGCTGGTGGATTCAAACTGCTGAACTTCTGGTTAGCAAATGAACACTTAACCACTGTGCCACCAGGGCTCCATTAGAGCTGCAGAAAACACTTATGGGGTTTTAAGAGGTCACTTGCTAATGGGAGCCAATAGGTGGATGGACATGTTCACATTCGAGGGTTGTTGTCCTCACCCGAGAAAACGGATTTAGTGATGCTGGGGCCGTCCTAACCCCTTTGTGTTTTTGCCAACATGCCAGCCAGCCCACTCGAGAGACACAGATCAGTGGGGATGCTTAACTGTGATGAGGCACAGGGAGGGTGTGCTTGGAGATTTTACTTGTTGAATTAATTTAACCAGCCCAGCCCAGCCAACTCAATGCAAACGTTAAAGCAAGCGTTTCCTTGTTATAAACCTGGGCTGTCCTTGAAAATGTTTCCACATAAAGAGTCTAAGTATAGACCAGAAGTCTTTACACTAATACTCGGCACACTTTTTTTTTTTTTTTTCCTCTCAGATTTTAGTACGAGGCGCTTCAGTCTTGTTTGTACATAAATACTCCTCAAATCCCGGAGTAGCCATTTTAAAATTTCTCATCATCATTCCTCTCGTTTCCCCAGCTCCTTTCTCGTGGAGCCCGTTTACAAAAGGAAGACATGGGCCATTGAAGACAAGAAATGGCCACATGTCGTTTTGATTAGTGGTTCCTTAAATACAGGAATGAAAATCCACAGCAGAATGCTCTGGTAAAATTTGTTTGAACTGTGCGCCCCTCTTAATTTTGAGGCACTTGGGAGGTACATCCGCCATTTGCCAGTAATAATTGAGTTGCCTGTTTGTAGAAAGTTGTGCTGAATGACTGTACCCCCTAAGGGTTAATAGAGCAAGATGAAAGGGAAAGTAAGGAATTTTTAATAAATAGGGTGAAACTGGACCAAGATCAGGGCAGAGAAAAGGAAAGGAGGTAGAAGAACTTACCGCCGCACCAGCATAAACGGGGTCTGCTCTGTTCTTCCTCTTTGCAAGCTCAGGCCCTCGTTCGTTTTTTTTCCATGTATCTGAGACAGCCTAAGTTAAGGGTCTGATGTAACGATTCAGCCTTAAATAAACCAGTAATCAGTTACCATGGAGTCATCTCCAATTTACGGTGACACTGTATGTGTCAGGGTAAAATTGTGCTCCAAGGGTTTTTCAGTGGCTGATTTTTCAAAAGTAGATTGCCAGGCCTTTCTTCTGAGGCACCTCTGGGTAGACTTGAACCTCCAGCCTTTTGGTGAGCAGCTGAGCACATTAGCCATTTGTAACACGTTAACTATTGCCTGCCTTCTCCCATTCTATCCCAGTTCTTCGATCAGTCTTTATTGACAATCCCATCCAATAAATTCTGGGCTGTTAATACTGTTGACCTAAAACTAGGGACCCTTTTCTGCAGAACTCAGCATTAAGACAAGGACATCCAGGTAGAGGTCATTTTATTTCTACCCATATAGTCAGGTGGGAAGGGAATCCTGAGGTGTACACAGCTTGCGTGGCCTTAAAGCAAATAAAGTTTCAGTGGTGTATTGACACTAAGAGTAGGTGTCCTAAGGCATTATGACATGCAACAAGCTTGTCTAAAATTCAGATTCACCTGAGGTTCTCTTGCAGGTGGACTTAAATGAGGAAGAAACTATATTGATCATCAGACGTCTGCATAAGGTATTGAGACCGTTTCTGCTGAGGAGACTGAAGAAAGAAGTAGAATCCCAGCTTCCAGAAAAAGTATGTGGCAGATTCCAAACTTTTGTTTTTTTTCCCCATCTGCAAGGGTCTCTGAGTATTTGAAGTACCTGCATCCGCAGTTGTGTGGCTAGAAACAGCTCTAGGCAGGCTTGTATTTCAATTGCAGCTGCCTTAGAAAAGGAGCCCTGGTGGCGCAGTGGTTAAGCGCTTGGCTGCAAACTTAAAGGCTGGCAGTTCGAACCCACCAGCCGCTCCTCAGGAGAAAATATGGCAGCCTGCTTCTGTAAAGAAGACAGCGTTAGAAACCCCATGGAGCAGTTCTGCTTTGTCCTATAGGGTCGCTATGAGTTGGCATCAACTCGACAGCAGTGAGTTTGGTTTTTTTTTTGTTTGTTTTGGAAATTATTTTAGAGTCCTTTTTTGTTTGATAGAGCTTGAGGATTTTGTGGAGAAAGAAGAGACATTTTAGCATTTTCAGACCAGGCTCTAAATGCTGTTTAGAACAGATTTTATAAAACCATCAAATTCATTGAGTCTTGTTATTTATTTGCTTATTTTTATTTATTTATTTATTTATTGTGGTGAAAATCTATTTACTACAACACACACCAGTTCGACAATTTCTCCATGTACAATTCGGTGACGTGGATTTCATTCTTCGAGTTGTGCAACCATTCTCACTATTCTTTCCAAATTGTTCCTCCCCCATTGACATAAGCTCACTGCCCCCTAAGCAAAACTCCCCTCTTTTGCCCTGCCTCCCACCCCTGGTAACTACTAATAAGCTTGGATTCTGTGTATTTGCTTATTTCATGCAAGTGAGATCATACAGTATTTGTCCTTTTGCAGCTGACTTATTTCCCTCGCGTGATGTTTTCAAGATTCGTCCATGTGGTGGCAAGTGTCTCATTGCATTTTAACTGTAGATTTTTTTTTTTTTTAAGTTACTGACCTCATTGAGTTCACCGCTGTAGGCAGGTCAGCGTTGTTCTGCTTGAAATTCAAATAAGGATTTGGGTTAGGGCCTTACATTATTATTATTGAAGGGCATAGTCAACCTTTGGCAGGTTTACTGAATGTTTATTAAATAGTTAATGCTTGGAGTGTCTTAGTCCTGGTAATAAGTTAAAAACAGAGTCCTTGCAAATAACAAACCCATCCTCTCATGATTCTGGGACATGGTTCTTTTCCTTCACTGTAAAAACAAAGTTTCTGGGAACATTTTAAGTGAATATCTTTCAGATTGCTTTTTGGCAAGTGAGGTTTCAGGGCTCGAGAACGTCTTTTAGAATGCCCTTAGCGCTCTGTTTGTGGTTGGCCGAGAGCGTGAGTTTCATATGTTTCTGATCGTATTTGGAGCCACACGCATTTGTGTTCTGTGTCATTCTTGTAACGATGGACCACTGGGCATCGTGCGTGATTTGCAGCACGAGATATTTTGATTTGAGTTTCCCTTTAGCTGGGCCAGTTCTGAAAGGTTGGATTTTGCATCCTTGTGTATTTCTGCGTCACAACTCCGTTTCTGGACAGATCGGTTCAACCTGTTCAGTTTTAAGTGGGAGTTGGCCAGATAGTGTACAAGGTTGATCACTTTGCTAACGGAGAGTTTTATTCCCTAATTCCCTACTCATTAGCCGTCAGAAAAAAAATAAAACTAGCGATGTTTCTTATAGCACACTCATCCCAGTGAGAGCCTGAATAGTTAGAGATGGACCCTCGTTCATTTCTCTCATGAAGGCATCTTGGGGATTGAATGTTATAGGTGTTTGTACAACACCCCATGGTGCTGTTGTTAGGAGTCATAGAGTCGGTTCTGACTAGTAGTCACCCCGTGTACAACGAAACACTGCTCGATCCTGTGCCGTCCTTCCTATGTCATTGCTGTGTTTGAACCTATTGTTGCGGCCACTGTGTCAAGCCATCTCGTTGAGGGTCTTCCTCTTTCTCCCTGACCCTCTACCAAGTATGATGTCCTTCTCCAGTGATTGGTCTTTCCTGTTGATGCGACCAAGTAAGCAAGACAAAATCTCTATCCTCGCTTCTAAAGAGCATCTTGGTGTACTCCCTCCAAGACAGACTTGTTCTTCTTCTGGCCAAAACCAAACCCATTGCCATCAAGTTGATTCCGACTCATAGCGACCCTACAGGACAGAGTAGAACTGCCCCATAGGGTTTATAGGGTGTCCAAGGAGTGGCTGGTGGATTCAAACTGCAGACCTTTTTGTTAGCAGCCAAGCTCTTAACACTGTGCTACCAGGTCTCCGTTCTTCTGGCAGTCCGTGGTATATTCAGTATTCTTCGCCAACACCATAATTTATATGCATCAATTCTTCTTTGGTCTTCCCTATTCATTGTCCAGCCTTTGCATGCATACGAGGCAATTGGAAACACCATGGCTTTGATCAGGCGCACTTTAGTCCTCAGAGTGACATCTTTGCTTTTTAACAGTTTAAAGAGGTCTTTTGCAGCAGATTTGCCCAATGATTTCTTGACTGCCTCGTCCATATGTGGTATTATTTAGGAACAGGCTACCTTCTCCAGGAAGGTGCTATTGAGATTTTTAAGCAATAGGATTAAGTTTATGGAAACCGTAGCTTCTGGGATGTACGGCATGGGAGAAAAACAAAGTAATGATTATACTATCGAGCATTCCAGACTTTTACGTTAAGAACTTGAGGAGTGGGCAGCATGGGTTCTGCCCGTTGGGGTGGACCCGGGTCCAAACCAGATTTTTCTTCTCTTGGCTGTGTGAATTTGGGCCATTCAGGTAACCCAAATGGGTCTAGGGTTCTCCTCCATGAACTGGAAAATAACTAACGTCTGCCTCATAGAATTGTTGTGAGGAATAGATGGAGTCATGCTCATAACAGGTGTCCCTAGGTGGCGCAGATGTTCAAGCACTCAACTGCTAGCCAAGAGGTTTTAGGTTTGAACCCACCCAGAGGCACCTTGTAAGACAGGCCTGGCGACCTGCTTCTGAAAGGTCACAGCCTTGAAAACTCCATGGAGCCGTTCTACCCTGCGCACGTGGGGTTGCCATGAGTTGGAATCGACTCCACCGCAGCTAACAACAGCAAGGATCCTAATACCCCGCAGGCATGGGGTAAGCCGTCCATCAGTGATGGCTGCTGCTCCACTGCCCGCATTTCCTACCCATGCTGCTGCTTCTGTTGTTGACTGAGAGCTCCCCTTTCCCATCGGCTCCTAGTTCTTTCTCCCCGTTCTCTTGTCCTTGTGCTCCCTGCGGACCTGCCACACTCCTGTCCTCATAAACCTTGCAAGGCGTGTAGACTGATCAGCTGTTGTTGGTGTGGCTCAGCCCCTGTTCAGGCTCTTCTTTTCTTCCCCTCATTGGGATTTTTTTTTTTTTTTTACCTGGGGAACATTGGCCATTTAATCATCGTCCTTGGAGCCAGGATGTTTCTTCTGCCACCATCTGCGTATAGCCACAGACAAAAATGTGTATGTCCTACTGAACCTATACGAAGAACCCAGAAAGGAATTATGCTTGGTGGTAGAAGAAAGCCAAACACTTCCACAGCGCTAATTCTCAAACGTTTTTATGAAATAAAAAATCAGGGAATGTATTTTTTATTTTCTTATGTATATACAGTAAAATTTACTTTCCGGTATATAGTTCTGTGAGTTCTGACAAATACGTAGTCATGTGAGCCACCCCCAAGATCAAAGCACTGAACAATTCCATCAGCCCCTCCCCACCCCCCAAATTCCCTGGTTCTACCCCATTTTTCCCTCCACTCTTAACCTCTTGCAACCACTCATCTGTTTTCCATCCTTATAGCTTTGCCTGTTCTAGAATGCTGCATGAGTAAAATCAGACAATATGTAATGCTTTAGTTTCTTTCACTTGCCGTAATGCATTTGCGATTCATCCACGTTATTGCATGTACCAATAGCTGGTTCATTTTTATTGCCGAATACTATTCCACGGTATGCCTGTACCACAATTTGCTTATATAGATTTAAATATGTTCACATATATATGCAACGTCTGAGGTTAACTAGAGATTGACCCTAAAACAGATCCTGATTTTAGTATATTTTTGTGTAAAACAACGACTAAAAGCTTTGCTTAAATGGGTACCTTGTATATTCATTATCTAAAAGTTTGGAATGCTTGATATCATTAATCGTTACTTTGTTCTTCTCTCATGCCATAGATTCCAGAACCCAGGGGTTTCATAAATGTAATCCTATTGCTTAAAAATCTCCAAGTGGTATTGATAAAGTGGTAATTAATATATCATACACATGAACTTTAGGGTAAGCTCATTGCTCTGGTAGTGTATCCTTTTGGAAGGGAAATTATAAATGAAGGATAGCGTTCAGGCAGAGGCTGTGAATAAAGCTTGCATGTTTCTACAAGGTTACAAGGAAAGAGAATCTGGGCCAGTATAACTGCCTGATCTGGCTCCTTGTGGGAGACGAATATGATTATTTACTAACAAAAGAACTGTCAGGAGATAGTTAGCATGTAAGAAGCCCTGGTGATGAAGTGGTTAAATCGCTTGGCTGCTAACCAAAAGGTTGGCAGTTCAAACCCACCCAGGGGCTCTGTGGAAGAAAAGATCTGGCAATCTGCTCCATAAAGATCACAGCCTTGGAAACCCTATGGGGCAGCCCTACTGTGTCCTGTAGGGTGGCTATGAGTCAGAACGGACTCGAGGGCAGCGGGTTTGGTTTTTGTTTTTTCACTTAGCTTGTGCATGAGGCTGGTACCTCGGTTCTGTGTATAACTTGAACAGAAATAACTCTGGTGGCTCTCACAAGCATTACTTGTTGAGGGAAACCTCCCTGCTAAGGGTCACAAATTGCATTTCCCACAGCACCAGCCTATTTTGAGGAATTTTTACACTGACGTGCTAATCCAGTGCTATCACGTTTTTCAGGGTGAACTCCGACCCCACAGAGTTTGAGATGGCATGATTAGCATAGAAGCTTCTCTTGCCTCCCCACTTTTGGTGTGTGTCTGCTTTAGAGTTGATCCGTGTCTTGCTTTCTCAACACATAGGTATCGGCTGTCCGCTCTGTGTGCGTTGTACGGCACTTGGGCTGGGGTGGGAGGCACGGGGTGTACCAGAAATAGGAGGCATGGTGTCAAGGCCAACAGACTCTGCAGACCGTGGAGACCAGGTGCATCCTCATTGAATGCTGGCGTGGTGGTGGAAGGCAGACTCTCCCAGCCCATCAGAATCAGTGATCTTTAGGGCAGGGATTTCCAGAGCACACACGTGCAGGTGTGTGAGTGCATTTACTAGCAATCCTTTGGCATGGGGAAAGACGAGATCTAGACTTCCATTTATATTTACTTTTCTCTTAAAAATAAAAAAATCAAACTTTATTCATTTTTAACGTGGATTCCGCCACCCATTTGGCAGTTTGTCCTGCTGTGATGGCTTGCCTGTTGCTATGATGCTGGAAGCTAGGCCATCAGTATTTCAAATACCATCAGGGTCACCCGTGGTGGACAGGTGCCAGCAGAGTTGACAGACTAAGACTAGGAAGAAAGGCCTGGCAATCTACTTCCAAAAATTAGCCAGTGACGACCCTATGGATCACAAAAGAACATTGTCATATAGTTCTGGAAGGTGAGTCCCCTAGGTTGGAAGCCGCTCAGAATACACAGTGGCCACAACAATGGACTTGAGCAGAACAGCGATCGTGAAGATGGCGCACGACTGGACAGTGTTTCGTTCTGTTGTACGTGGGGTTGCCATGAGTCCGAGCTGACTCGGCAAGTTGTTCTCAGCTAACAACAACAATGTACGTGACTAGATCATAGAGGTGCAGTATGGGTTAAATGAAAAAAGGCAAGTAAAACGCTTTGCATAGGGTCAGTACTTAGAGCTCAATTTTATATATATATATATATGTGTGTAGATATTATATGTATATAAAATGTTGTTCTTTACATCATTCTGTTTGATCTGAAGTTGTTTAACAACTTTCTTCACCGTGATGAAATTTCATTGAGAGTTAACAGCTCTTGAAAAAGTAGAAGTACTTTGAAAATATAACACGATGAGATATCAAAAACACGAAGCCTATATTAAGTCCATTCTTATTCATTAAACACAAGAGATTTTTTTTCCCCCCTTCCTGGCCAAGAAAGTTATTAAAAACTCAGACAAGTTTGTGGTGGGTTACCTGCTGTTCTTACCTGTTCTGCAGAAGAGCAGGCCTTTCTCTCTTCTGCTTTGGGGCATCAACACAAATGATGAAAGACTGTTAGCTGTGGTTCCAGCTGGCCCGACAGGTCCCTTCTGAAGCACCCATGGAATGAATATTCAGCGTCTCTTCATCTATGACCTTGGCCCGCGGAGCTGAAAATAACCTGATCGGTTTTAATCAGTTTAATAAACATTAGGCAGCTCACTGATTTACTTTTAATCACATTCTGCGGATTTCGAGACACTAATCTGACGCTGATGATGAAAACTGCGCATTTGTAGTGTTGGGATCTTTTTAATAAAGAAAAACAATAACAGGAAATAATCAAGGTCAGTTTTTATGCTCCAGGAGAAGGATTGCAGGTGTGTGATAAACCTTGGCACGTGAATTCCCTTTAACTGTTTTAAATTGGATTTTTGTGGTATTTCAACTGGAAGCACACAAGGCCCCGTTCTCCTTTCGATGGTCATAGAGCTGCGTCCGATTGCAGGTTAATTTCTTTCCTTCATTTGTTGTCGTGAATAGGTTGCATCTTCTTGTGTCCCAAAAGCAGAGGCTAAAGCTACTCAACCTAGAGCTGTTAGAAATCTCATTTTAGGACTGTACTGGGGAGAGTAGCCACACACAACCATTTTAAAAATGATTCACAAAGAAAAGCATAGCATATTGGCCAGTCACTGTTTTTCCTAAAACTCTCCCATTCATTTGAAAGAGGGTATAGTTGGGAAGCAGAAGAAATACTAGAAATGTCCTATGTTGAACATCTTCGAACTGCTTGAAAGCCACTCTCTCTTAAATATGGAACAAGTCAAGAAATTTCAGAAAACATGATCCTGGCCTCAGTCTCATATAACCTTTTGAAGGTCCCATCGACATAATGATACCTTTAATGGATGGATGGATGGATGGATGGATGGATGGATGGATGGATGGATGGATGGATGGATGCTGGATAGATGGATGGATGGATGGATGGATGGATGGATGGATGGATGGATGGATGGATGGATGGATGGATGCTGGATGAATGGATGGATGGATGGATGGATGGATGCCATTGAGTCGACTCCGACTCATGATGATCTCATGTACAACAGAATGAAATATTGCCCAGTCCTATATCATCTTCATGATCACCTCCGTGTTTGAGTCCATTGTTGTGGCTCTTATGCCAATGCAGCTCACCGAGGGTCTCCTTCACCAAACATAACGTCCTCCTCCAGCGATTGATCCCTCCTGATGACGTATCCAAAGCAAGCTAGTCAGACGATGTTCTGTTGTGATCTATAAGGTGTTCATTGACTAATTTCCAGAGGTAGAGCACCAGGCCTTTCTTCCTGGTCTTTTGTAGTCTGAAAGCTCATCTGAAACCTGTCCACCATGGGTGACCCTGCTGGTATTTGAAATACTGTTAGCATAGCTTCCAGCATCATAGCAACACACAAGCCACCACAGTAGGACAGACTGACAGATGGGTGGTGGGATACCTTTACTAACAATGACAGTGGTCTTTCCCACCTCCCACCCGCTCCACGAATCCCAGGAGGGGAGAAGGAAATCCCCTTCTGGTTCCAGGAATGGCACTTGTTTTCTTCAAGAAAGAGAGCCAGCAGCCATGTCTCAATAGTCTTCTTAGACCAGGCACTTCCTCTCTCCTGTTCTCACCTGCTTCCTGTTCTCTTTCCTGCAGGTCGAATATGTGATCAAGTGTGACATGTCAGCTCTGCAGAAGATTCTGTATCGCCACATGCAAGCCAAGGGGATCCTCCTCACAGACGGTTCTGAGAAAGATAAGAAGGTCCGTTCTGGAGGATGATGTACCTTCTGGTGGCTACAGCATCGACTGTTCCCAGAACGGGCATCCCTGCTAAGGCTAATGAGCTCAAGGAAGTCACTGGGCCTCTTCTGTCACTGTTGTAGCTGCCAAAGGAGATCTTTTAACCTCTTAACTGCAAACTCCATAGAGGGGGCGGGGAGGAAAGAGGAGTATTTTCACATCCCCAAAATAGTTAGCTCTGCTCATTCAACCCTGCAGAAAATCTATTCTGCCTAAGGGTGGGGTGGCACCGAGAAGGTTTTAAAACTCACTCTCACTCCCTGGGTATCTGTCCTGATCTCTGTCTTCCCAGAATCCCAGGGCATAGGCAGTTAGGCCACAAAGCTGTCAATTTAACATAGTCCCCTGAGGTTTAATCTTTTCATAGGATACATGCATCATGAGAAAGATGCTGTATCTCACTCGAAAAATTGCTACTGATTACAGGAGCTCTGGCCCATGGTTGTGTAGGTTACTGAAAACACTTGTGGCCTGTTACCCGCCCTGTGGAAGCCCAGCTTCTAATAATTGGAAATCCCTGGTCAGTGAATAATTGGCTCCCGTTTTACCTTCCCCACTCATTCTCAGGGGAAAGGAGGTGCGAAGACACTCATGAATACCATCATGCAGTTGAGAAAAATCTGCAATCACCCGTATATGTTCCAGCACATCGAGGTGAGTCTGGATTCTGTGTTTTGATCCTGGCTGCCCCAATCCTACGAATGCTACAAATCCTACAAAGCAAGACGAAAAACGGGGTTCCACCCCTGTGTGTGGCGAATGAGCCAGCAGGCTCTGATGGCTCAATGGGCAGAATTAACAGGCATGAATTTTCTGCTCGTGGAGCCTCGCTGGCACCCGAAGCGCTCGAGCATCTGGCGTTTTCTGAGAGTGTACGGTCCTGAAGAGATGTGGAGGCTGATGGTTCGTTACGTGGGCCCGGTAAGTACTGTGAACCGTCGTTATGCTCAGCGCTCTGAAATTGAAGAGAATGATAAATACACGCAGCTTCCTCGGGAAGACGTGATGGCAAGTACTGAAATAAGGTATTTATGACTATTGGAGAGGAAGGCGTTCTTTAAACGTTTTCTCTGGAGAAGACACCGGCTTGCGTCTGTTACCTGGATGGCGATTTCTTCCTTTTCGGTTTATGTCACAATGATGTAAATCCACGCTTCGATTCTGGGGCTCCAGTCTCAAGAAAGCTATTTTCAGGGGCAGGGATGTTTTCTGCCCTGTTCACTAAGTTTCTTGAATTGACGGTGTTTCACCACACGGGGAGCGATCGACTTGCAGGAATGAAAAGGACTCACAACCAGGGTCTCCATTTTTCAGCGGGAATTCACCTCAGGTCTCCTGTGTCTGCACCAGTTTATTTATTTATTTTAAATAGAAGCTTCTGGTAAATTAAAACTTAATCATCACGGTGTAAAACAACGAGTTGGAATATCCCTTACTTGGAAGATTTTTTTTTTCACCCTTACTCTTGGTTATTGCACTTGTTAGGTGATGGTGTATATTGAACATCCTGCCCCTTTGCATGGAATACTGACTATACCAGGGACTGCCAAAAGAACGAACAAATCTGTCTTGGAAGAAGTGCAGCCAGAATGCTCCTTAGAAGCAAGGATGGCGAGACTACGTCTCACATCCTTTGGACATGTTATCAGGAGGGATCAGTCCCTAGAGAAGGACATCATGCTTGGTAAAGTAGAGGGTCAGCGAAAAAGAGGAAGACCCTCAACGAGATGGATTGATACAGTGGCTGCAACAGTGGGCTCAAGCATGACAACGATTGTGAGGATGGTGCCGAACCGGGCAGTGTTTCGTTGTTGTACATGCGTCGCTATGAGTGGGAGCCAACTCGACTGCACCCAACAACAACTCCCTTTACCAGAGTCTTGTCCCAGCTGTGGTGGGGAATTAACAAGATTCCTGGCACTGCTATTGCCTTCATGTCCACAGGGGAGAGTATCTATAGACAAGAAAGGTTGAGACTCAAGTTAAAAGACAACAGCAGTAACACTAAGGAATCCCTAGGTGATGCAAACAGTTAACGCTCTTGGCTGCTAAATGAAAGGTTGGCAGTTCGAGTCCACCCAGAGGTGCCTCAGAAGAAAGTCCTGGCGATGTACTTACAAAAAACTAGCCATTGAAAACCCTATGGATCACAGCACAATAGAACCGTTGTGCATGGGGTTGCCATGAGGCAGGGGCCAACTGGACAGCAGCCCTAACACCAGCAGTAATCACCATTACCTTCATTGTTAAGTATTCCTGCAATATATTCATATTTACAAATTAATTCAGGTCTGGTTTTGCTTGTATCAAGCTCCTCATCTAGCCTAGACTCTGAACTCCATGAGGGTGTGTACTTGGGTGTTTCTGGGTCCCTGCCTCGCTCAGCCCCGGGGCCCGTAGGTGCTCATCTCTGTTTGATGAGTGAAGTGGCCTGATCATCCAACTCTAAGGGTCTAGCGGCTTGCTGCAACTCACGGGGTCCATTTCTTACGGAACAGGCTCTGAATCCAAAGACCCTTGAGTTTCTAGCTCATTCTATAAAAAGTATTTGCTTATTCATTTATTATTTTGTTTTCTTTTTAACCGGAACAGGATAAACGCATCAAAAAAAGAAGAGTAATCACTGAGTTAATGTTTCTATCCTTTTTCCCCCTCTTCTGTCTTTTGTAGGAATCCTTTGCTGAACACCTGGGCTATTCCAATGGAGTCATCAATGGGTAAGTCTTCAGATGTTTTCCTTCCAAAACATAGTGTTGCTGGTCCTACATCATTTTCTCCTCCAAATTCCCACTGCCAGCCTCTTGAAAATTCTTCTCTTTTCAGTGGAGGTACAGAAGATGCTAAAATGATACCAGCATTCCCTTTTACTCTACTGGTATCAGTTATTACTTGCCTTGAGCAAGTGGCTATTCAAAGGACATAGATCTCATTTAGTAGACTTCCTAGCGTCCTCCTGGTGTTCTAAAAATGTTGTCGAATCTTCAAACGGTTGTGACTTACAGCCTTAATGTCGCTTGTGCTCGAAGAGTCTTTATCTTATTAAATTTCAAATAGGTACTTACGATTACAGCGCATAAGCGGAGACGTCTCATCTGTTACAAACGTGTACAATCTTACACTCGTTGCTTGGAGTATGCTCTGTATAAGAACATCTTTCACTAGCAGTGGACATGGAAGAGAACCATGTCTTGTAACAACAGATACGACCCTTAGGTTAACAGAAAGTCTATCAAATTTACTTCACACTGGGGTACATTTATTATCAGGCTATAGGGCTATTCCTGGGTGTCCAGGGCAGAAACTGTCACTGGGTCCAGAACCAGGACCCGGAACCCATCCAGAACCAATGCTACTATGCTCCCCCTTCCTCTTCCCGGCTCTCTTTCCTCTGGTCCTTCTTGGCACATCGCGGAGTAGAGTGGCCCCACAGAACCCCCAAATGGCTCAAATAGTTAAAACGCTCAGCTGCTAACCTGAAAGTTGGCAATTCGAACTCACACAGCAGTACCTCAGAAGAAAGGCCTGGTAATCTAATCCTGAAAGATCACAGCCATGAAAACCCCATGGAGCACAGTTCTGCTCTGTAACGTGGGGTCTCCATGAGTCGGAATCGACTCACCAGCGGCTGGTTACTGGTTAAAGGAATTCAGTGGCATCTTGGAAGCTCAGGGCCAAGTTCTCAAGAGAGAGACTGATTGCCTTTAGGTCCCTTGGTCACTCCTGGCCCCGGCAGCTTGGCTAGGGTTGCAGAGAGGAGATGTGGCCACAGCAGGTGGTGAAGGGCGGTTCTCCGAGCAGCGTCACGCGGGCACCCTCTTGGCAGTGTGTCTGTTAGAAATAACATAGGCCAGGTCGTAAAGTCGACCACCAAACGAGGCGTTTTCTTTTTTTCAATTTTATTTTACTGTTGTGCTTTAAGTGAAAGTTTACAATTCAAGTTAGTCCCTAATACAAAAATTTATACATACATTGTTATGTGACCCTAGTTGCTCTCCCTATACTGTGACTGCACACTCCTCCTTTCCACCCCTGATATCCCATGTCCATTCAACCAGCTCCTGACCCTCTCTGCCTTCTCATCTCACCTCTGGACAGGAGCTGCCCATTTAGTCTCATGTATCTACTTGAGCTGAGAAGCACACTCTTCACGAGTATCATTTTATGTCCCATAGTCCAGTCTAATCTTTGACTGAAGAGTTGGCCTCAGGAATGGTTTTAGTGCTGGGTTGACAGAGAGTCCGGGGGGCTGCTCTCTGGGGTTCCTCCAGTCTCAGACCATTAAGTCTGGTCTTTTTACTGAAATTTGAGTTCTGCACCCTACTTTTTTCCTGCTCCACAAACGATGCATTTTCACGTTAGAGATGCATGTGTGCTGTGAGCTTCCAAACAATAGCAACACTAAAACGAGGCGTTAGTATTATAACACATCCCCATTGATAACAAAGAGAAGGGGTTTATTGTGGAGGAAAAAGGCCACCGTTTAGCACATTGTCCGCTTTTCTCAAGCAGTACAGCCACCCTCACATATGGACTTGTACTGCTAGAGTGAGCCAGGACTATGGCCCCCTCCCCCATCCACTCTTGCAGTGTCCACGGTGACCTTTTAAAGGGGTAAATCAGACCTCACCACTTCCCCGCTTAAAACCCATCAGTGGTTTTCCGCTGCATTTAAAACTGCAGTATCCACGCGAGCAGCCACCCACAATGAGACAGTTGGTAGAAGACCCAGGAATCAGAGAAGGAAATGGACACCAGGCTTAATTACCTCCATAAACTATTATCTCCTTTACCATGAGACCAGAAGAAATGGATGGTGCCCGGCTACCATTACTGAGCGTTTTGAACAAGGACTCAACAGCTGGATCCTGATCAGAAGGAGGAAAAGCATGGAACAGAACTCCAGACTCATACGGAAACCAGACTTACTGGATCCTTTGAGAATGGGGGAACACCCCCAAATCTATTGCCGGGAAATAATCTTTAAACCTTGAACGGAAACTATCCCATGCTGCCATCGTTAAACTAAACAGCAGTTTAGCACAATTCATAGAGTGTTTGCCGTTAGCATAGCATTCTTATAAAGAATTATCTCTATGATCTAAGATGCATCACTTGGTCCCAACCACCCGGAGTAAAGAAGAATGAAGAACACCAAAGACACCAGGAAAGTATTAGCCCAAGAGACAGAAAGGGCCACATACCAGAGACTTCATCAGCCTGAGACCAGAAGAACTAGATGGTGCCCAGCTACCACCAATGACCGCCCTGACAGGGAACACAACAGAGAGTGCTTGACGGAGCAGGACTAAAATGGGGTGCAGAACTCAAATTCTAGGAAAAAGACCAGACTTAATAGTCTGACTGAGTCTGGAGGAACCCCAGAAAGCATGGCCCCCAGATTCTCTACCAGCTCAGAACTAAAACAGTTTCCGAGGCCAACTCTTCAGACAGGGATTGGACTGGACTGTGGGACATAAAGTGATACTCGTGAGGAGTGTGCCTCTTAGCTCAGGTAGATACAGGAGACTAAACGGGCAGCTTCTGTCTGGAGGTGAGATGGGAAGGCAGAGAGGGTTAGGAGCCAGTTGGGTGGACATGGGGGGTCAGGTGGAAAGGAGGAGTGTGCTGTCACAGTATGGGGAGAGCAATTAGAGTCACATAACAATGTATGTATAAATTTTTGTATGGAAAAAAATTTAAAGAAAAGAATGATCTGTATGAGTATAAACTGACAACAGTGCATCTAAGCCCAGATGAGAACTTCAGGGGGCAGAGAACCTAAATAAATGGTGGTGAAACTATGGGTAGAGGCAGTGAGAACGGTAACACAGCGTGAAGTATGCGACCGATGGTATCGGCCTGTTCCTGTCCAAATTACGAATGGATGCATATTCGGCTGTGTGTATTGCCACCGAAAATAAATCAAATATTATTTAAAAACCAAACTAAAGAACCAGTATGGGTCATAGAGCTCCTCCCATGATCTGCTCCCCCCTCCCCGCCCCACCTCTCTGCCCTCTGCTGTCTTCCCCTCAGAGTGTCAAAGCCATACTCAGCTTCTTTTCAGTTCCTCCGACTCACTAGGCTCTTTCGCTCCCCAGGGCCTTTGCATGTGCCCTTTTCCCTTCCTGGAATCTCCTGTCCACCCCCACCCCCCATTTTTTACCTGGCTGCCTTTTACTCCTTCTTAGAAGTTTTAGCTCAAATGTTGCTCCCTCAAGGAGGCCACCCCTACCCCTCTAAATCAGGGCCTGACAACCTTTTTTTAAAAAGGGCCAGGTGGTAAATAATTTCGGCTTTGCAGGCCGTAAGGTCTCTGCCACAGCTGTTCAGCTCTGCTGTTGAAGTGCAGAAAGCAACCACAGACAAAATGGAAACGAGTGAGCATAGCTGTGTCCCAATAAAACTTTGTTTACAAAAACAGGTGACAGGTCATGTTGGGCCCACAGACCGAAGTTTCCCCTACTCTGCCCTGATCTAAAGATGGCGCCACGTGTTATCTTCTCTCACGGCAGCTTGCCGTATTTCCTTATAGCCCTTATCACAGTCTGTAATTACACATTTGGAAGGTGCACAGATGTCTAGCATTGCCACATAAGTGCCCAGTAAGTATTTGAACGCATCTTGTTGTTGTCAGGCGCCATCAAGTCAATGCCAACTCATAGTGACCCCATGTGACAGAGTAGAACTGCCCCATAGGGTTTTCTAGGCTATAATCTTTATGGGAGCAGATCGCCAGGTCCTTCTCCCGTGAAGTGGCTGGGTGAGTTTGAATGCATCATAAAACCGAAAACCCGTTGCCATCGAGTCAGTTCTGACTCACAGTGACCCTGTAAGACAGAGTACAACCTCCCCATAGAGTTTCCAAGGAGCAACTGGTGGGTTCGAACTGCCGACCTTTTGGTTAGCAGCCATAGATAGCTCTTAACCACTGTGCCACCAGGGCTCCTGAATGCATCATAATTGCCCTAAATTAAGAGTTTTATATACTTCATAAGGATTTAAAGAAATACACGTGTGCACGTGTGTGTGTGCATGTAGAGGAAAATTGAGAGACAGTGCAAGTATGAGGAACATGAGAGGGATTCCTTTTCTTTCTAGAGTCCATTGCAATACCTTGCCTGTATAATGAGCTCTTTCTAGACTTTGTATGAGCGTATTTTCTTTTTACATTAAATACTCTCGTTGCCTTGGAGTGGCTATACGTCCCTCCATTCATTCACTCCCCAGTTGTTTATTAAATGTTGGCTCTGTACAAGGCACCGGATGGAAGGTAGCGCGATGCCAGAACCTTCCACAAGACAGGGCGACGCTGACTTCCGGATTTGCTTTTGTGGCTTCAGGGCTGAGCTGTACCGGGCCTCAGGAAAGTTTGAGCTGCTGGACCGCATTCTGCCAAAGCTGAGAGCAACAGGCCACCGCGTGCTGCTCTTCTGCCAGATGACCTCCCTCATGACCATCATGGAGGACTACTTTGCCTTCCGGAACTTCCTTTACCTGCGCCTCGACGGTAAGTGCCTGAGGACCTGGGCTCCAAAGTCGTGTGACGGAAAATGAGGGGATAACGGGCACCTAGATCCAGTCTCAGGCAAAAAGGTGGGCGGAATTGTCGAAGAATTAAGTAGCAGGGTAATCGGTGTGTGCCGTGGAGTCGATTGCAACTCACAGCGACCCCATGTGACAGAGTAGGACTGCCCTATAGGGTTTTCTAGGCTGTAGTCTTTAGGGAAGCAGATCGCCAGGCCCTTCTCCCACAGAGCTGCTGGGTGGGTTTGAACTGGCACCCTTTCGATTAGCAGCCGAATGTGTACCCATTGCCACTGGGACTCCTAGTAGCAGGGTGGCGTGCATTTTTCTTGATAGCCATTTCTCTTACGTCCTTAAGGGTAAAAGAAGTGAAAATCCCTTGTACAGCTGTTCATCTAACATACAACACATATGTACCTGGAGTTGTCTAGATGTACCGAAATTAAACTAAACTAAACACTAATAATAGTTAGAACACCCTGCTTGCTCTGAAGATTGTCTGTTATGTCCACACCATATAGAATATTTTGACAAGCCTTTAGGTTTTTTGTGTTAACATGGGCGAAGTGGCTGTGTCCCCTTCCTTCAGTAACAACCGTGTCAATAACAACTGTGTAATAATTCATTTATGATTACATTTAGTTAATTAAAGATTATATTTAATTATCAGTAAAGCCTCTATTCTAAATAGAACATATTTTCACATCACATTGTTAAGAGAGGGCTTTGTGGATTTTTGCAAACTATGCCAAACGTTTGCCTGATTTTACAAGCGCAATATTTAAACACTTTTAATTAGTGTTCAGTAAGTAAACACTAAGATTTATTAAGAAAACATGATGGATACTCCCTAAATTACTTTTTGGTTTGGATACCAGCCATAACATTTTGGAGATTAGGGATTTCAAAATTTGCATACCATGGCAGAGGACAATGCATTCCAAGAGTGGTAAGGAGGACTGGGACCTAATTCACCACCAGGAATGTGTTTCGTCACTGGGTAAGAAGAGGACCCAGCGCAGGTCAGTCTGTTGTACTGTACTAGCTTGAGTGTTGGTGTGACGCTGGAAGCTATGCCACTGGTATTTCAAATACCAGCAGGGTGACCCGTGGTGGACAGGTTTCAGCAGAGCGTCCAGATTAAGACCGAGTAGGAAGAAAGGCCTAGCCATCTACTTCTGACAATCAATCAAAACGCTATAGATCACCGCAGAACGTTGTCTGATACCATGCTGGAAGCTGAGCCCCCTAGGTTGGAAGGCACTCAAAACACACAGTGGTTGCAGCAATGGACTCAAGCATAGCAATGATCATGTGGTTGTCACAAGCCTGGACAACGTTTGTTCTGTTGACGGAGGTGACTTATGGTAACTAACAGCAAGAAAAGTACCATACTACCGAGACTAGTTTTTATCTAATGAAGTGATTATTACATGGGAAGTGTAAGAGTTTGCATTCTATTAAAAGGTTTCATGTTACTTTCAATCGTTACATAGAATCAGATACGTCTTTCTTTTATTTATCCATACAGACCAGTCTATAGCTACAGTAAAACACTTGGAAATTTCTTCTACATGTCAAAAGTTTCACATAACCCAAATAGCCATTATTTCCTCAGAATTTCTGGAAAGTGAAATACTCTTTGAAGCCCTTTTTAAGCAGGGCACTGTCGTGCTCATAACTAACAATTCAGTGGTTACACCAAGCTCAGACTTGCCGTGTATTCTCTTCCTGGTGTTTCTAGGTGAATTCTCTTTCCGGCTTACCTTTGAAGGTAGTAATTTTTAAATGTATTATAGTATCAGCCAGACTTGATGATTTTAAAACCTTTTTACCTCTCCCGTCCAAAGTCACTGAAAACAGATGAATGGTTAAATAAATGTTGAGTTTGAATTCATAGATGTGACCGTGTTATCCACAGTTTGTCTCTTAGCGCGTCTTATCCTCTGTTGCTTCTTACCGTTTGACGGAGGCTTCCCTCTCCAAGAGTTTAAAACTTCTCCATCACTCCTCACTTAAAAAGACAAACCAAAAGCCAAACCAGTTTCCGTCGAGTTGACTCCGACTCATGGCGACCCCATGTGTGTCAGAGTAGAACTGTGCTCCCTAGGGTTTTCAATGGCTGATTTTTCAGAAGCAGATCACCAGGCCTTTCTTCCGAGGTGCCTCTGGGTGTACTCAGACCTCCAGCCTTCCAGTTAGCGGCCGCATGCGTTAACCGTTTATATCACGAGGGACTCCTTTGAAAGCCAATCTCTCCTTTAACTGCTGCTCAGGTGAAGTGCAGCAGAACGTCCTTTCCTCGGGATTTACAGCCCCCACAGGTGTCATCCATAAGCATTGTTTACTACTCTGTGGCACTTCGTTTTGGATCTCAGCTCTCAGCTCCTTGAATCTATGCAACTGACAAGAAGTGACTTCCTTGAAACAATCTCTCCAATGTTTCCCTGGCTGAGAGACTCTCTTTAATAGTCTGTTGATTGCTGCCTTTATTGTTATTAATAGTAATAGTAATAAGAGCTAATGGTATGGAATGTCAGCTACACGTGGGATACTAGGCAGGGCACTTCATGTGCATATAATTTAATTTTAAATTAGGTGCAACAAAACCTGTTGCCATCCAGTCGATTCCCACTCATAGCAACCCTATAGGACAGAGGGTTTCCAAGGAGTGGCTGGTGGATTTGAACCGCCAACCTTTTCGTTAGCAGCCAGGTCTTAACCGCTGTGCCACCAGGTACGACAAAGAAGGCACTGTCGTCCCCATTTACTGTTATGCTCTTACGAGCTGTCTTAGTTACCTAGTGCTGTCATAACAAAGAAGATCCCACAAGTGTGTAGCTTTAAAGGACATGAACGTATTGTCTCTCAGGTTTGGAGGCTAGAAATCCAAATCAGGGCATCAGCTCCAGGGGAGGGTCTCTCCTTGTGAGTAGCCCCGGGTGTTCCATGGCGTTCTTTCTTGCCTGTCTTCCCGTGTGTCTCTCTGTCTGTTTTGCTCTTTTTATAAGACACCACTCAGAAGTGATTTGACTTAGGATCCGCCCTGCACTGGTATGACCTCAGTAACATATCCACAGAAAACTCCTCTTTCCAAACAGGGTCATTTTTACAGGTACAGGGGTGAGGACTCCAGCACAATTTCGGGGAGCACAATTTAATCCATAACAGATAGCCATTTAATAGCTGAGAAAACAAAGATATAGAGTACATAGTTCACTGGCTGTCTTAGTCATCTAGTGCTGCTCTAACAGAAATACCACAGGTGGATGGCTTTAACAAGGAGAAGTTTATTCTCTTACAGTCCAGTAGGCTACAAGTCCAAATTCAGGGCATCAGCTCCAGGAGAAGGCTTTCTCTCTCTGTCAGCTCTGGAAGAAGGTCCTTCTGATGCGTCTGTCTTCCCTTGGTCTGGGAGCATCTCAGCACAGGAACCTCTCAGGTCCAAAGGATGTACTCTGCTCCCGGCACTGCTTTCTTGGTGGTGTGAGGTTCCCATGTGCCTCTGCTCACTTCTGTCTTTTATATCTCAAAAGAGATTGGATTAAGGCACTATCCAATCTTGTATACCTCATCAGTATAGCCACTAATCCATCTTATTAAATCATAGTGATTGAATTTATAACACATAAGGAAATCACATCAGATTACAAAATGGTACACAATTATATAATACTGGGAATCATGACCCAGCCAAGTTGACAGATATTTTTGGGGGACACACTTCAATCCATTACATTGGCCAAAGGTTACATGTTAGATAAATAGTGAGGCCAGCTCCTAACTTGGATCTCTGACTCCAGCTTAGCTCAGTTTTAGCAGACCCCCTGAAATAAACCCCACACCCCAAAACACAGCCTGCTTCTCTAGCCACAGCATTCAAAGAATGATTTTGAACGTACCATTTAAATTATTTTTAGCTGATTAACTGAAAAGGACCAGGTACTAGAGATACTAGATGAACAAGACCGTTGCTGTTCCTGCTGTCCCAGCTCTTGGGTCGAAGGACACAGATGGGGAAGCAAGTTCCCGGAAGTGTTCCAGCTGGAATTGAGAAGCATGAGCAGGCTTCTGTCCACAAACAAGCAGCAGCCGGTTGTTTTGGGGGTGAAGGGAATGGATTGCCAAGCAATGAAGATTAGAGTTGTTGTTCGCTGCCACTGAGTCGGCCCTGGACTCGTGGCAAGCCCCTGCACTGTGAGATTGCACCATTGTGATCCTCCGGGTTTTCATTGACTGATTTTCGGGAGTAGATTGCCAAGCATTTCTTCCTAGTCCATCTCCGGCTGGAAGCCCTACTGAAACCTGTTTGGCATCATAGCAACACACGAGCTTCCACTGACAGATGGGTGGTAGCTGTGCGTGAGGTGCCTTGCCTGGGAATAGAACCCGGGTCTCCCACGTGGAAGGCAAGAACTACTGCCGAACTCCCACTGCCCTCAACAATGAAGATTTAAAAAAAAAAAAAAAAAGTTACCGTTGACCTGTTACGACTCATAGCGACCATATAGGACAGAGTAGAACTGCCCCATAGGGTTTCCAAGGAGCGGCTGGTGGATCCGAACTGCTGACCTTTTAGTTAGCAGCCAAACGCTTAACTGCTGTGCCACCAGGGATCCACAATGAAGATACACATGTATAAATGAGTACACGCACTTCTAACTGAACCACCCCTCGCCACCCACCCCCCAAATTGTTAAAATGACTTCAGCTATTCCCTGCTGAATGTAATGTGTCAGATTTTGACTTGAGGAAGAATCACGTGATGAAAGCTAAGCATATTTTTTCCTGCAAAGATTACAGCTGTACAAAAAGATTTAGCTACTATTCCATTATAGTTTTTGTTCTCTCTGGAAAGGGGTTTTGAGCGAGAGCAAGTGGTGAAGTTTCATCCCAGAAGACAAAATTTTCCAGAAGCAGCTGCGAGTACATTAAAATTAGTAATTTTGGATGCCTGGCAGTGTGTTCCTTCTGGCAAATTCT